GAGGAGCCTAGCTAAAGAAACTAAGATCTCCTCATCTCAGGACCCCATGCTTTTTATTAACACAAATTGTCCTGAGGCGAGGTGGAGATATACACTTCAAAAGGTAGGGTTTCCTATACACAGTCCATTGTCAGAATGCGGAGAATTAGCCTACTGCTGTTAAGGTGTTTGGCCAGTAGGAGGCAATAACATGTAGATTAAGATGCCCTGAGCTGGCTGGCAGCAAGCAATCATTTAATGCATCCTTTTCAGGTTTGGGGAAATGCCCTTCAGCCACTCCAGATGATTCAGTCTGCTGTCATGCTGGAATTGGCTTCCGACATAATATTATGAATTGGTCTTTTTACCATATCTATAAAGTGAGGCTGCAATGTATAAAAAATGAGATATGTACAACTGAAACTAATATAGTATTGGATGTCAATTGTAATTGAAAAATAAAAAATTATTTTAAAAAGTAAAGAAATAATGAGCGATGGTACTGAATCTATACAAAAAAGTTCATGTGGTTGCTTCATGATTGATTTTCTTCTAAATTGAAAGTTCATTAGCTGATTAATAGAGTATAATTTTCTACTTTTATATTGCTCTTCATTAGTTAGAAGGGGGACTTTTCTTTCATTTTCTTCGTTGTTAATTCTCCCCCAAGGATATTTTTTCCCCAATAACTTTTAGAGAGAGTGGAAGGGAGGGAGGGAGCCAGAGAGAGAGCAAAGAGAGAAATATTGATGATTGATGTGAGAGAGAGACATCACTTGGTTGCCTCCCACCTCAGCTGGGACTAGGGATGGAACCTGCAACTCAGGAACTTTCCCTTGACCTGGAAAAGACAGGTGACATGCTCTAACCACTGAGCACAATCACCAGGGCAGTGTTTTCTTTTTTAATGGATATCCAAAAGTTGTGAGAGTACCTTTAGAAACCTGCCTTTAATTTTCTGTGCTTCCTATCAAATTGAGTGGTTTATTTTGAAATCTAATAGTTATTCTCTAAAATTTCTGACAAAACTATGCCAAGTGTAACCTTATAAGAAGATAAAATCACAACAATTACTCTAATTTATTTTGATTTAAAAAAATATATATTTTTGTATTGATTTCAGAGAGGAAGGGAAAGGGAGAGAGATAGAAACATCAATGATGAGATTCATTGATTGGCTTCCTCCTGCACGCCCTTACTAGGGATCAAGCCCGCAACCCGGGCATGTGCCCTTGCCAGAATCGAACCTGGGACCCTTCAGTCCGCAGGCCAATGCTCTATCCATTGAGCCAAACCAGCTAGGGCTATTTTGACATTTTAAACAAGCATTAGGCATATAATTTTCAGTGAATAAGTAGTTATAGAAATCATTTGCTGTGAATAATTCCTGGTCTATGGTTTGAAAATTATTTATTCTGAAGGCCATTCCTGTATTGCTCCCCATTGTTCCGGTCATTCTTTCAATAATTTAGGAAATGTCTGATTGTTCAACATATTCTATATAGTCTCACTAAAGGCTAGTGAATGAGATTTGTTCCCTGCCTTTGGGGATTTGATGCAGTGACAACATTGGTATCTTAACAATCGTAGGTTTATTCTGGATGGTAAATCAAATACATTGATTTAGTCTTCAAAAACAGTATCTTTACCTAATTAAAGATTTTTCAGTCAGCTGCCTTCTTTCATCCCTTACTGGGGGTGAGCCCACAACCCAGGCATGTGCCCTGACTGGGAATCAATGGGCCAACCTTTTGGTGCATGGGATCATGCTCAACCAACTGAGCCACTCTGGCCAGGCTCCACATGTTTATATTCTGGAAATTTTATAGATTCTAAGATAGGATTCTTACCTTTATGAAACCCATGCTTTATTTTCTAACTTGTCATAACAAATGACATAAAAAATTGGAAATTTTTTTATGAAAAGAAAACATGCTCTTAAATATTCATATCTTCTTAATTTGTTTCCAAGTGTCAGAGTTCTTGGTCAGACTTGAAAACACTTTAAAATAAGTTCTTGGCAACCTCCAAATTAGTTTTGGTGACTTCATATTCCTCTGGCCATAATCTTGTGATCAGAAAATCATGTTAAAAAAATTTTTATTTTTGAAGTTTTTATAGGGATTTATTAACACTTAAAGTAGCATGGATTTCTGATATCTATACATTTTTTCCCATTTTTAGGAAAAAAAAAGACAAATTGTGTTATAATTTAAAGTTTATTGACAATGTTCCTATGGTCATATCTTCAAGTTCCTTCAGTATACATCAGTTATATTTCTTCAACTCCTTGAGATGCCAAATTTGAGCACCTAGGACCCAGGTATACTTATATCCCAATATAACTTGGGCTGTGGATTCCGTTAGTTTTTGCCCATGTTTTATGATCATTTTCATGTACTCAGCAAGGAACCCAAATGGCAATAAAAGTGTTGCAGTTGAATCTCATGTTAATGACAATTGGGTATTAAAGCTAAACCATTTCTATACTGTATATTTCTGAAACTTCGAACTTAAAGATAGTTTTTCAACACTGGCATTTTCTTGACTATTCAGACCTGCTGCTGTTTTCACTTGCTAGCAGCTTTCTCTTAACTTGCCTTTTAGTGTAGAAATATTAACAATTATATGGGAAATATATTGGTAAAAATTCTCGTTCTCTTTATTTTTAATGCTGACTAGTTGTTTAGATTTTTCTGTATTTCATAAATTATGGTAAACCCAATTAGATTTCATTCCTGCCTCAATAAATTTCCAGACTAGGTCATAAAACCAGATTTAAAAAAAAAATGCATCTTCTTAGCTGGACTTGACTCTTTTTAATCCTAAAAGCACTTTTAAAAAGTATAAAGTTAAAATGGTGTATTTTCCACTGGTGCTTCTGTTACTACTTCAGTTGGTAGATTAGTGAAAGTGTTTACAGCTGTTTGATATTACTATTGCAGAGATTACTATTCTTTCTAAAAGTTTAAAATGCTTATTATTCCCACTGTTAGAACAACAAATAGTTGACTATCCCAAGTACTTGGAATTGAATTCTCAAGATCAGGGTTTTCATGTATTTTCTGACCGGTTTGCTTCCCTTTCCCCATTTCCCATTATTCCCATGTGCAGACTAGTGTAGTGGAATGTAGTATTTTAGATGTGGAAGAGTACTTACTAGGAATAAGAAAAGAGAGGCATAAGTTTCCTAGGACAGGAGGAGAGAAGGCCCCCAAAGCCTTGCCAATGAGGAATGGGGAAGGGGGTTTGGCTGCCAGGTTTTACTATAAGTTCATTTTCACAAACCCTGCTACAGTAGTCCTCTTTTATTAATGCTCTCCTGACATTTACCCTGTTAGTTGAGGCTCTTCATTGTTCCTGCACTGAGCTGTAGAATTCTCTTTTGTTATAGATTTGCAAACAAGACTTTCCCAACAGACTGAAGGTGAGTTGAGCTTTTTATTTGTCTTTGAAATAAATGTAAATGTAGCAAGACATAGTTCTTTATATCTATTATTGTATTTTATTTTGGATCCAGTTTTGTCAGAATGATAGTCATATATTACATTACACACATAGTAAGCTATTTGCTAATTTATGTTTTGGAAGGCCCAATCAAAACTATTACAATTGCATGGATAAAAATGAAATTGTTTGTGCTTTTTTAGCTTTAGCTTGCTTAGAAGTATTTTAAGCCTCTTATGCTTATTTTTGTGTAGTGATTGTTAGTAAGTTTTACATAGAAGTCAGAAAGTGAAATTTGTCATTTAGATAGACAAATCTTTCAGAACATAGTTTGTCAACTTAATATAAAATTAGGAAAATTGGCTCTAACTCCAGTGATTTGTATATGCAGTACCAAGCAATGAGAATATTATCCAGAACAAAATTGCATGCAGATTTCAGAGATTGAAATGATTTATAAAGTGGGCTATTTTTTCTTGTTTTTAATGTCCACTTAAATATGTGCCATTTGATAGAGCTATTTGATACTGAGCAAATTCAGTATCCCATTTTTTTAGGCTATACTTAAAGTTGTTTAGGGAAATTATTCTATATGAAATATTTACCATGTTCTTTGATAGGAATTAAATGTATAATTTTTCCAGTAAATGAGGCAGCTATATTCAATCCTTTTATTTCTAGCAGATTTTAAAAAGTTGAACTAGATTTTTCTATTAACTATATTTCTCTGCTGAATTTATTGTGTTCTGCATTCTTCTAGGTTGAGCTGGAATATTTCTATCAAACATTTTCTAAATATTTTTCAGTATTCATAGTATATTGTCATAATTGGAGGAAATGGAAAATACAAGTTCTCAATTATTTTGTAATGTCCTTCTAGTTTTTCTTCCCAAGCATACTTCCATTTATTTATGATGAGGGTACACAGCAGGCTTTTTGTTTTTAAGATATATTTTCACCTATCTTTTTTTGTTTGGTTTTCAAATATTTTTATTGATTTCAGAGAGAAAGGGGAAGAGAGAGATAGAAACATCAATGATGAGAGAAGAATCATTGATTGGCCACCTCCAGCACGACCCTTAGTAGGATCGAGCCCACAACCCGACTGGGAGTCGATTGGTGACCTCCTGGTTCATGGGTTGATACTTAATAATTGAGTGACACCAGCCGGGCAGGCTGTATTTTTTAACTTTAATATAAACATGGTTGCATCTTTAACTTTCCCCAATAGAGTTTGACATCTGTTAGTTACTTTAATATATAGCCTAATTCTATCAGAAAAAAAATTTATGATATATTTCATGTGCAACCATAATTTTTATTCAGTGGAATATTTCTGGTACTTCCTCAGGTGAATGTTTAATTATAATTTCTAATGCACTGTTTTATCCTTAGCTTTGTTGTTATGTATTGGAATGAAATTTGGTCAAATGTTATGATTACGGTGAGTTGTATAACAGCTACTGGTAATGTTTTATAAATCACATGTAGACAATGGAGCGGCTGTCTTGGCCAGTGCTCTCACTTCAAACTTAAAACCAATAGGGTTTTAAATGCTGAGCTTAAATATCAGTGTTCAGTATTTTTTTATTTTTAATATAGTGAATATTTTAGTTTTATTTTTCGTGCTAGTCTATTATTTCTTATGCAAAAGCAGACATCATTTTTTAAAGATTAATCTGGTTGTGTAATAGAATTTATAATCCTACGACAGTGATCGGCAAACTGCGACTGGAAAGCCACATGCGGCTCTTTGGCCCCTTGAGTGTGGCCACGAAGTTTCAATCGCACTATACGTGCGCCGGACGTGGTATTTTGTGGAAGAGCCACACTAAAGGGGCCGCAGTTTGCCGACCACTGTCCTAGGTTATTAAACCTTAGAGGCTTGGGTGGTTTTATGCATCTTATTTTTAAACTTAATCCTTTTATAATGTTTGTGTGTTTTTTAGGAATATATAACTATGTATTCATGGATAGAATCCTAAAAAATACAATAGGGTCATACATTTATTTGGTACTTTATTCATGTTAGAGGTGGGGGGGCTGGGGAGAAACATCCATTTGTTGTTCCATTTATTTATGCATTCCTTAGTTGCTTCTTTGCCCTGAACAGTGATCTAACCCACAATCTTGTGATATCGGGACTGAGCTACCTTCCACGGCCTTATTTTGGAATTTTAAAGATCATATTTCTTAGTGTTTTTATGGATTTTCAGAGAGAGAGGGAGAGGGATAGAGATAGAAATATTGATAAGATAGAAATATCTTCAATCAGCTGTGGGATTGAGCCCGCAACCCAGGCATGTGCCCCTGCCAGTAATCGAATGGGTGACCCTCTTGGTCCTAGGTTGACGCTCAATTGCTGATTGACCCTGGCTTGGCCAAAAGATACATTCTTATTACCCCCTGCTTCTCAGGTATAAACTCAAGCAATTTTACAAAGTCAATGTTCAGTTTAATCCTTTGTCTTTCTGGATTGATTTGTGTTGTTTGTATAATTTAAGTTTGATTACACATAAAGTTTAATTTCCCTTGTGAAAATAAAACTCCCAACTTTTTCAAGATCGGCCACTTCAAATATTGCCACAGTTTTCTGGCAACTAAAATGGAGTTCTGTTACATACTTTGATAGCCTTATTAAGTAAGGTAGATTAGTTAAGTGGCTGGCTTGACATTATACCCTAGTTTCATACTTTGGGTTTAGTGGATTTTTGTTTTATTTTGATGCATTTTCCATGGAACTAATTGCCGCCTTCTTTTTTTTTTAGCTTCAGCTTTAGCTGCAGCTGCCTCTGTTCAACCTCTTGCAACACAGTGTTTTCAACTCTCTAACATGTTTAACCCTCAAACGTAAGTAATATACTTTGGTCAAGTTCAAACACTTAGGATGTTTCCATATATTTCATAGTTCAAATAGTGCAACACTTTTTATCCTTTTAGCACAATTATTATGTACATTGTTGGTTATTTTCTTTGGATGTGTTTGTAAGATTGGAATTGAAAGCTGTGCAGATTTTATATTTCCTGTTTATATCTAACTTTACTAAAGTTTGTGTCAGTATTTATTTTGGTCACCAGCTTATACCAATTATGGGCTTTGAGATTTTAAGCTTATTTCAGTCTAATAGCAGAAAAGTTGTTGTTTTTTTTTTAAATTTTCTTTTGATTAGTGCATGCTGTTAATTAGAAATATTTTCTACTTCCTAGCCAGTGATTAGAATGCCATTTATTAATTAGTCCACATCTTGTTTTTGTTCGGTAAAATTTTAAATCAGTCACTATATTTGAGGGAAATATGTTTCATACAACTTTAATAATTTATAATGTGCTGTTTGCATTAATATTAGTTCAGAGTTTATCATAGAAAGAGCTTTGGAGTCTTGTATTCTATTAGCTTTGTCTATGAAATGGTGATAAACTGTTGGTATAAGAATCATTTGAAAAATGTCAATAAATCATTTAAGTGACTTAAAAATTTATAACCTTCTTTAGAAATGTTTTATATCTTCTTTATTTCCTCCAGTGCCTATACCTAACACTGATTTTTGAAAAGAATGCATATTTTAAAATTTTTATACAGTGTCTAATAAAGCTTATACTTTCTTACAGAGAAGAAGAAGTTGGATGGGATACAGAGATTAAGGATGATGTGATTGAAGAATGTAATAAACATGGAGGAGTTATTCATATTTATGTTGACAAAAATTCAGCTCAGGTATTTGCTCTTTTATTTTTTAATATATTTTTATTGATTTCAGAGAGGAACGGAGAGGGAGATATAGAAACATCAATGATGAGAGAGAATCACAGATTGGCTGCCTTCTGCACACCCCCTACTGGGGATCGAGCCCGCAGCCCAGGCATGTGCCCTTGACCGGAATCAAACCTGGGACTCTTCAGTCTGCAGGCTGACTATCCACTCAGCCAAACCATCTAGGGCTATTTGCTCTTTTTAATAAGCAAAAATGTTGTTCTCTTTGCCTTAAAATTTACAGATACTTGGGTCATATTATGATTAAACAATTACATAGTTACAGAACACTGAGTCTATCTGTAGGCCGCTTGAATAAACCTGTTCAAATGCACTGTTTAGGATAATACTTTTTTTATTGTATTTTAGGGCAATGTGTATGTGAAGTGCCCATCAATTGCTGCAGCCATTGCTGCTGTAAATGCATTGCATGGCAGGTGGTTTGCTGGTGAGTTTAATGTTTCTTTTCCTGAGTGATTATTAAGGCTCTAATTAATCTAAGTGAAGATATTAAACTACCAATGTCTGTTTCTTTCAACAGGTAAAATGATAACAGCAGCGTATGTACCTCTTCCAACTTATCACAACCTCTTTCCTGATTCTATGACAGCAACACAACTACTGGTCCCAAGTAGACGATGAAGGAAGATATAGTCTCTTATGTACATAGCTCTTTTTCTTTTGAGAATTCATCTTGAGTTATCTTTTATTTAGATAAAAATAAAGAGGCAAGGGTCTACTGTCATTTGTATACAATTCCTGTTACCGTGAAAAAATAAAAATGTTAACAGGAATGCAGTGTGCTCGTTCTCCCTATATAGCAAATCCCACTGTATACAAAACTGTTCTCTTGTTCTGCCTTTTATATGTACATGTAGAAAATTACATTAAGGATCTATAGAAATAGCTCTAGGGGAACAAATGTGCTTAATGTAAAAAGGCAGACAGGGATATAATGTTTTTAATGTTTCATTTCAGAAGCCTAACTTTTTACACAAGTTACATTTCACATTTTCACTAATGTTGATATGGCTAATGGTTTAGCAGAGGTTTCTGAAATACACATTTAGTGTATGGAAATTCAAGACAGCTAAAGGGCTGTTTGATTAACATCTCATCTTGCACTCTGATCAATTAGCAAGAAAAGATTTCAAAATTACATTTCTGAATGGTATCTTTTCAATTAATGTATCTGTAAAAGTTTCTCTGTAAATATGTGTTCTAGTGTGTCTAAGATTCCAAACAAAATGATCCCTGCATTTCCTCAAGATGTTTAGTGAGTCTGGTAAGCAAAACAGTCTGAGCAAGAAATGGGAAATGCAGAAATAGGTTTTGTCTGGTTGCATATAATCTTTGCTCTTTTTAAGCTCTGTGAGCTCTGAAATATATTTTTGGGTTACTTCAGTGTGTTTGACAAGACAGCTTGATATTTCTATCAAACAAATGACTTTCATATTGCAACAATCTTTGTAAGAACCACTCAAATAAAATTCTCTTAAAAAGGCCACAAGAAATCTTCATTTTTGAAATGTTTTGAAGTCATAGAAACATGAAAATAGAATATTAGTTTCTTTGACTTTTAGTAGTTATTAGGTATTTGCCTCTTTGGAACAATTATTATTAGTCTGGATAAATTCTTGCCCTCAAGTTGTCTATACATATCATTCTCTTGGCATTGTACCTATTTAGGGTAATGTATTAGAACTGATTTACAAAAAAGGAAACAAAACATTCATCCAGGCTTTAAACTTGGGCATTGTTAAGTTTCCTGTGTTGTCTGGACATCCTTGTGGAAAAAAAAAATGCTTTACTATTTAAAGTAAATACTGAACAAAAATGGAATAAGTTCAAACTGACTTCCCAAGTTGATTTAATGCATTTACCTTATTATGGAATTTTGAGCTTTAACTTGGGTAGTGAGCCATCACCATTTATACTCTGAACTTTGCTTCAAGTTGTGTATAGGTTGAACCTTTGGATAGGTAATGTTGATCCTAATGGAATGATTATCATCTAATACTGATTTTCTTACCTCATTTCTGTTTCTGCTGCATTGATTTTTAGCATTGAGGCACAGGCTTTACACTATATTTACTTAGATATCAAGTTACCTAATCAATTTTGAGTATGGAGCCATCACAGTTTTCTACCAACCCTTTTGGATGAGTAGTCCAAAATTGCTTCAGTTATTCAACCTGAAGTTTCAAGATTAAAATCAATTTTTTAAACACAGCAGTGTTTCTTGGGGCTAACATATGTGTGTGTGTTTTTTTTTTACTTTCCGAAGTAGCTATAATTTTCAAATTATTGAATCAAGTCCTGGTTCTGTCAGGTTTCCTCATTCCAGCAAAGACGGCTATGGTTTAATAAAGGCAGCAAAATTTAGCTCTACACAGAATGAAATTTGGGTTGTAAATGATGTTCAAAGTAAATATATATGAGTTTGGCAACTTGAATAACGTAATACATAGAAAGTAATGCAAATTGCCATTTTGAGTGAAATCCTTTTGGTAGACATCTCACCTACTCTTTGGAAAATCTGTAACTGCTATTTGTACTGTGGTAGTAACCCTGATTTTTGCTGAATCTGAGAGTCCTATGTCCACAAAATATTAGATAAGTCTAGTTTCTTGAAAACATTCCCATTTACTACGAACCTACTTTCAAGCCAATTATAGTAGAACCGGTTCTCCAACTTAATTTGTTCTGGAAGACTTAGAAAACAAAGCATTTTTTCCCCATTAGAAATAATGTAAACAATTCATTCCAGACTCAAATGATTCCGTTTTAAACCAAAAAAATCTTTATTGATTTTTAGAGGGGGGTGGGAGAGAGACACATCCATGTGAGAGAAGGGAAACATCAATTGACTGCCTTCATTGGACTGGTGATCAAACTCACAACCTGGGTATATGCCCTGACAAATAGAACCTGCACACTCCAATCATCTGAGCTACACAGGCCAGGGCATAACTTTTCTTATATACAGTACATGTCTATAATGTACTGTTTAGACACTTTAAAGACAGACATAAAATGTAAGTTTACAAAAAGGAAATGTACAGTGAAAAAAATGAAAATAAGCAACAAAAGTGAAACCAAGGGAAAATATTCACAGCACAATTCCCTGAGATGTTAACAGTAGTAAATAGACTCATACTCTTGTATTCTCTCTCTCCTTTGTCACCTCAGATGCATGACTGAATCATAACTGGTTCTTTTTCTCATCAAGCCAGCAGGTATATCTGGACAACTTTTGAATGAACATAGTATTGAAAATAAAACACTCCTGCCTGGCTGGTGTTGCTAAACATACTAAAAAAAAAGAAAACACCCTTTTGCATTTTGACCTTGAGGGAATGAAATCTAACTTGTTTTTCACCTTTAAAACACTAATGATAGGAGACATATGCAATGCTTTCAACAATACAGACATATTAAAAAATTAAAACGGTGATGATAAATCAACAAAAGCTTGACTAATAAGGATTTACTAGAATCTATGAAAGGTTCCAGCCATGGAAAAATTTTCTAGCTTGTAGTTAATAGACAGGTCTAGTGAAAACGACAAACGTACTCAGCCTACCTCAGAAAGTCTCTAAGCAAGCTGTATAATAGTCTGGAGTGAGAAGAAGAAAACAATGCCTCCAACACAGACTACTCAAAGTGTTTTTATTATAGTACATGGGCTGGGACTGATGGGATAGGGTAGATGTGGGCAACCATTGCCCTGATTAGCATCGGATGCCCATCCCGATAGCCATGAATGTGCCAAAGGTGCCGCCACTCTGCATCATGGTTTTCCCGATGCCGCCCATCAGCTCCCGACCCCGCATTCCAATCCTGAGAGGAGGAAACCAAGATGGGGCCAGTTGGGAACAAAAATATTGTATATGGAGAAATATTAACTGCCCTTTTCCAACATGTGCTGCTAACGATGAATCACGCACTCCAGAAGTCTAATAGGACATTAGCCCCTCCCACCCAGGATCAGTAATGACAAGTTGAAAAGGATCTATCAGATACTAACTGCCTTTCGTTTCTGAGAGGCTGCAAATGCAGTGTCAAGTACATGGAAACCATTTTTTTCTGCTGGTTTTATCTCTAGAGTATGTATATATAATCCAATAACAACAGCTGTCTTAGAAGGTTTCCTAGTGTTAAAGTGATTGTGGAGCCCTAACCGGCTTGGCTCAGTGGATAGAGCCTCGGCCTGCGGACTCAAGGGTCCCAGGTTCAATTCCGGTCAAGGGCAGCACATCCCCAGTAGGGGGGGTGCAGGAGGCAGCTGATCGATGTTTCTAACTCTCTATTCCTCTTCCTTCCCCGCTGTAAAAATCGAATAAAATATATATATATTTTTTTAAAAGTGACTGTGGACTCATTTTATGGACTATGTCAAGTATAAAAGAATTGTGATAACAGCTTATAGCACAGTGATTGACACAGAAAGTGCACAGTAAGTAACTTTCAGTCTGAAAAATGAGAATAGTCATTTATATGAGAATAGTCATATATGTGAAAATGACATTTAAGGTGTAGAATTTATCTACTTCATTTCTACATCCTGTTGCCAGTACAGTAAAGCTGCTCAACAAGTTTCACGATGTGCAATTAGAAATAACAGCAACGACGGTCATAACTATTTACTGAGCACTTAATACGTGCTATATTCTGTGCTAACTGTTCTCTGACTTGATCCTTACAACTCTATGAGGTAGGTGTTACTGACCTCATTCTACACTTGAGGAAACCCAGGCTCAACTTGCCTAAGGTTACAGACTAGTAAGCGCTGGAGAGGAGGGATTCCAACCTGTCCTTCCAGACGGAAGGTGGTTAGGAAACTGGTCTCGCTCAGAGGTCAGCGAGATTGCCACGCGTTAGGCTCCATTTCAGGCAGCAGGCCAAGCGAGTGGGCGGGAAGGTCCGGTAGTCCCACCCCAGGTCACCACCCGCGCCCCTCACCTGAGGCAGGAAAACGTGCCGAAGAGCGCCCCGGCCGCCATGCCTACGGCGCAGCCCATCACAAAGCCCATCTTCACACGGTCGAAGCAGCTTGGCTGGGACTGTCCATAGGGACCCACGGCCACCGGCATCTGTGGGGTTCGAGGATCAAGGAAATGCAGGCCTGGCCGCCAGCCCGAGAGTCGGGCGGGGTCAGAGGAAAAGGGGTTGGGGAGCGGACCTAAGGGCTCGAGGAAGCTCGGGAAGGAAAATCAGCGTGTAACCCGATTCCATCACCCTCTTAGTGTTCCGACCCTCGAGCCCCCACCTCACCTCGCTCGCGGCCTCGGTCGCTCAGTCTACGTCTCACACGGAACGCAAGGCGGAGCGCGCTGGTGGCCCGAGGAATCGCTTCCGGGGCACTGGACAGTACTTCCGGGAGTTCGTAGCTAAGTACTGCAGCCGCTCGGGGCGAGGGGCTGTGCCTCCGGGACCATGTTGCTGCGGACAGCTTGGAGGCGGGTGGCTGCGGCCCTGCCAGCAGCTCAGGGGCCGAGGCCGGAGGCGCCCACTCGGGGTCTGCGCCTGCGCGGTACGCTCCGGGTCCCGCTTGCTGCTACCCTCCCAGGAGGCGCGCCTTCTTTCTCCTCCGCGCGGCGACGCACCTGTGAATATTCCGTAGCCTCCCTCTTCCGCCCCTACCCAGACCCTCTGACCCTTTCCCTGGGCTTCATCCCTCCAATTTTCTCAAGCTGGCTTTCTTAGTGACTTCGCCGCGACCCGCTCAGATCTTATCCCACTGGCCTTCCGAGCCTGAGGCTCGGCCTTCGTTCTTCTAACCAACTTTTAGAGATGCTAGTGGTCCAGCAAGTAACCTTCAAAAGAGATCTTACGTCTCCACATCCCTCCTAAATGGCTTTGCCATTTCAGAGCCTTCCCAACTCCCAACGATGCAACTTTAATAATGTCCCAACATCCCCCTCCAAGAGCCCTGCCTCTGTCCCTTATCTCCTTTTACAGTTTGCTCAAATCCTGATGTTTTCTTTCCTTTTTCATTAAGATTGAACCCCACTATTCCTTAAACTTAACTCACCTCCATCCCGGCTTTACCTTCTGATGTCTTGGATACCCTGTGTCCATAGTCACGTGGCCACTCTGTTCCATATTTTTGGCAGTTGCAGACCATGCTCCCCAGTCTGCTGTTCCCTCAGATACAGCCACTGCTCCAGAGATGGAGTCAGTGCTGCGACCTCTGTATATGGATGTGCAAGCTACAACTCCTCTGGTAAGGATGGAGGGGCAGCTTTGCCCATGCTGTTTATAGGAATTATATTGTAGCAGTGACAATGTACAGCAGGGGTTGTTGGATTCTTGTAGAGTTAAGAGCCATTGATGAGTGTGTGCAGGAAAAAGCAGTGAGCTAGGAGTAAGGAGGCTTAAGTTGCAGTCCACTAGAAATGACTCAACTACTTACAAGCTATTGATCTTCTAGGTCAAATCACTTCAGTGCAGGCACTATAGTAGTAGTTAAAATCATGGGCTCTGGAATTAGCAGCACTGCTG